GCCCCTGCACCCAAACTGGCACCCAGGAATGGGGGAGATGGGGGCCCTGCTGCTCACTCACTGGTTTTGCTCTTGACGTCCAGGGCCAGCGCGATGCCCTCGTCGATGAAAGCCACGACCTTGTGGAAATCCTCCTCGTGGAAGTGGCGGGATGTCAGCGCAGGGGCACCTGGGGACGGAGACCATCAGGGCCAGCGTCTGCGCTGGCCAGCCCCAACAAGGGGCTCCCTCAATCCCAGCCCTTCTCTAAGCCAGAAACTGGCTCCAAAGTCCCACATGGGTGAAGCAAAGGGGGGATCCCCCCAAGGGAAGGAGCTGGATGGATGGAGGCAGGGCCCATCCCTCACCCAGGCGCAGCCCTCCTGGCGTGAGCGCGCTCTTGTCCCCCGGGCACGTGTTCTTGTTGGCAGTGATGGAGACGAGCTCCAGCACGCGCTCAGCCCGCGCGCCATCAATGCCCTTGGGCCGCAGGTCCACCAGCACCAAGTGGTTGTCGGTGCCGCCTGGGGAGCAAGGGAAAGGGGTGAGGAGTGACCGACAGAGCCCCCCCTCTGCTCACTGCCACATCCCAACCTCAGCCCTGCTCCTAACCCACCCATGCTCCCCACTGCTGCCCAGGGGCACTGAGGCCAAGCGATGCTGCAGCCTCAGCCCTCCTCCTCCCCAGCGGTGCAGTACCTGACACCAGGGTGTACCCACGCTGCAGCAGGGCCTCTGCCATGGCTTTGGCGTTCTTCAGCACTTGCTGGCAGTACTGGCGGAAGGCTGGCGAGCTGGCCTGCAAGGGGAACCACATCAGTGCTGGGCCATCTCATCCCCAGCCATCACCACCCCAGCACGGACCTGTTTGAGGGCCACGGCCACGGCAGCGATGGCGTGGTTGTGTGGTCCCCCTTGCAGGGAGGGGAAGACAGCAAAGTTGATCCTGTCCTCCAGGTCGTAGAGCATCTCCTTGCCTGTCTTCTTATCCACCGAGCGCACGCCCTTGCGGTAGAAGATGAGTCCTGACCTGGGGGTGATGAAGAGCTGGTACCGCTCCTCCTGCCACCACCCCATGGAGGCACCAACACCGCTACCACCCTCCCATAGGCCCCTCCTGTTCCCTCCAGAGCACGAACCGCAGCCTCTGCATCACACCACAGACAGCATCCTCCGGGGGGATGCAGGACCCGGCCTCACCTGGCGCCGCGCAGGGTCTTGTGTGTGGTGCTGGTGACCACGTCCGCGTGCTCGAAGGGCGAAGGGATGGCCTTGGCTGCCACCAGCCCGCTGATGTGAGCCATGTCCGCCAGCAGGTACGCCTTCACCTCCTCGCACACCTGCAGACACAGGCACATGGGTTGTCCCTGTGGCCCACCGACCGCAGCATCACCCAGGATGGATGCGACGCCACCGGGTACCTTCTTCATGCGAGCGTAGTCGATGAGGCGGGCGTAGGCGCTGGTGCCGGCGATGATGAGGCGAGGGCGGAAGAGGCGAGCTGTCACCTCCAGCTGATCATAGTCAATGAGCCCCGTGGCTGGCTGTAAGGGACAGACGGACAGCTTGCCAAGGCCCCTGCCCCTTCCTGCCCCCAGCAGCTCCCAGGCACCAGGATGGGGTTGGCACAGAGGGAGGGAAGGAAGGGCAGGGGATGGCAGAGCAGCTCGGGCACCTCACATCACCAGGATCAACAGCTTGGCCAGCAGATCCCCCCCTTCACCCCAGCACCTTCCCCCCCCCCCTCAGCTCACATTAAGTTTGTAGGGCATCGACTCGAAGAAGATGGATGTCGCTGAGATTCTCTTGACGTCCGACATGTACCCATGTGTGAGGCTGCAGGGGAAGGCCGAGGTGCAGGATCAGGCAGGGTGCCCCCCGTTCCCTGCAGGCACCAGGCTCCCGGCTGTCTCCCCCCCCTCAGTACGTACTGGCCCCCATCAGGCAGGTCCAGCCCCATGAGGCGGTCGTGGGGCTGCAGCAGGGCTGTGTAGGCTGCAAAGTTGGCCGGGGACCCCGAGTAGGGCTGAACGTTGACGCCCCAGCGCGCAGGATCCAGGTCGAACGCCTCCAGCGCGCGCTGCTCGCACAGGAGCTCGATCTGGTCCACAACCTCGGCTCCCCCGTAGTACCTGGGGAAGGGAGGGGGTGACAGGGAGCGGTGGTGATGGGGGTCTCCCCTCCTGCCCTATAGGTGACAGCCTCCCCTTGGAAGCACGCTCTGTGGCCCCAGGGCTCCCCTTAACCTTTCCTGCAGCTGCATCCTGGCTGCGGGAGGACCCCTGAACCCCCAGGACCGGCTCCCCCTCTTTACCTCTTGCCAGGGTACCCCTCTGAGTACTTGTTGTTGAGGCAGGAGCCCAGGGCTTCCAGTGCTGCCCGGCTGCAGAAGTTCTAGGATGGGGGGGGAAAAAGGGGTCAAAGATGGGGCAGTGAAGCTCAAACCTGAGCAGGGCCCCCCCCAGCCCTGTGAGCATCCCCTGCCCCAAGCAGCCCCTACCCCACCTCAGAGGCGATGAGCTCCAGCCCCCGGCACTGCCGATCCTTCTCCTTCTGCACCAGGGCCCACATCTCAGGGTCGCTCTCGGCCAGGCTCTCCTGCCCCGTCCAGGCTGGCACTTGCCCCGTGGCAGCGGCCGCAGCGGTGCCGTGCTGGGCCCGCTGGCTGCAGGTACCCCCCCAGCCACCACATCGCCGCAGGGCCTGCACAGGAGAGGCGAAGCTGACACCCTGTGACCCCACACGGGCCCCTCTGTACCCCCTAAAGTGCCCCTGTACCCCAGTGTTCTGCCGGGGTGTGCACATGGGGACCCCCTCCCAACAAGGGGCAGGAGCATCTCGGAAGGTGCCGAAGCAGCCAGAACATCCACGCGTGCAGGGCACGTGTGCAGCACTGCACATGCGTGTGCATGGCTGTGTGTGCATGTGCATGGGAGGGGTGGGAGGGCCAGACCCCCGGTCACAACACGGGGACCCCCTTGTTGTGCATTGGGGTCCCCCCCCTCAGCCCAGGGTCCTGAAGAGGACCTCTTACTGATGCAGGGTCCGGGGTGATGTAACTGCTGCTGCCCCATTGCATCACCCGCGGTCACCGAGCAGGGGCCAGGGCCGGTGCCTGTCCCCGACCCGGGGACTTTGGGCCGGACACAAAGTCCGCTGGGGCAGAGCTGGGCCGGGGTGGGGGGCACTGCCCAGCCTGGCAAGGAGGTGGGGGTGTGGGCAGGAGCGGTGCCGCTGCCCCGACACCCAGCGGATGGGTGCTGCGCCCACAAAGGGGCGCTGAGACGGAAGAAATGGGTGTGCAGGGAGCGACCCCCTCCTGGACCTCCCCCTGTTGGTACCCGAATCCTCCCCACCCACACCGTGCACCGGGACCGCTTGCGAGCACCGGAACACCCCGGGTACCGCGGCTCCCTGCGGGCACCGGCATTGCCTGCGCATCCGGACTCCACGAGGCACCGGTACCCTGCGGGCACCGGGGTACCCCGGCCACCGGTACCCCCGCTCCCGGCACCGTGCACACCCCGCCCTCCCCGGAGGGGACCCCCCCGGTCCCAGACTCACCCTGCCCAGGCGGAGCGGCCACATGGCGGCCGCGGTGCAGGCGGATCCCGGCCGGTCCGGGTCCGGGTCCCGCTCCCGCTCCCGGTCCCAGTCGCGCTCCCGGTCGCTGCCCGGTGCCGCCCCACCGGGCTCCGCGGGAGCTGCCGGGGCGGAGCCAAAGGGGCTGCCGGCGCCGCGGGGCCCGATGGGAAACCGGAGCTTCCCTCCAGCCGGGGGTACCCTCATCCATGACCCCCGCATCCCATCCCTGACCCCCGCATCCCATCCATGACCCCATCGCCCCCCCCCCATCCCGATCCCACATCCCATCCATGACCCCCGCATCCCATCCCTGACCCCCGCATCCCATCCCTGACCCCCGCATCGCCCCCCTGACCCCCGCATCCCATCCCTGATCTCTACATCGCATCCCTGATCTCCACATCCCATCCCTGAACCCGTATCCCATCCTTGACCCCTGCATCCCATCCCTGAGCCCCACATCCCATGCCTGATCTCCACATCCCATCCCTGACCCCGTATCCCATTCTTGACCACCGCATCCCATCCCTGATCTCCACATCGCATCCCTGATCTCCACATCCCATCCCTGAACCCGTATCCCATCCTTGACCCCTGCATCCCATCCCTGAGCCCCACATCCCATCCCTGATCTCCTCATCCCATCCCTGACCCCATATCCCATCCTTGACCTCGCATCCCATCCGTGACTTTCTGCATCATCCTCCTCCCCGCACCCCATCCCTGACCGCACACACCATCCTTGACACACGCACCCCCCCCATCCCTCCTTCCTCTTCCCGCATCCCGGGGGTGTGGGCTCAGCACACTCCAACACTTTTCCTTTTTTTTTTTTTTTTTCCCAATGTTTTTCTTTATTTTCTGCTCTTTTTTTTTTCCATTTTAATTTTATTAAAAAAATATGAGGAAGTCCCTGCCCAGAGCCGGGGGGTGGGGGGGGGGGGGCAGCAGCAGCCCCCAGCAAGGGCCTTGGCCCCCCGGGCACCAGCCATGGTACTGCTTCACTAGTGGTGGGGGACAGGCAGCAGCCAGGGGAGGGGGGGGGGGCAAATTTGAGGGGGGCTCCATCTGGGGGCTTGGTTTGGTGCCCCCAACCCTGCCACAGCCTGAGAGGGGCCGTGGGGTGGGGGGACACAGCCCTTGCACACACACAGACTGGCATGCACACACGTGTCCACACGCCCATGCATGTATGTCTGCAATGGCTGCATAGGGGGTGAAGCCCCCCCCACATCATAGGGGGTGACTGCCCAGCACCATCACTGTGACCCCAAAACCCCCGCTGTTACAATTGTGCCTGCCCCGGGGGTGACACGCACCCAGCTGATGCCATTGCACAGGGCTGTGCCCCCCGACCAGCCCGCACCCTCCTGGGGACCCCATCCCAGTGCATGGGAGCATGGCACACAGCGGGCATTAGGGCCAGCACCCAGTGAGGAAGGGGAGGTCGGTGCGGCAGCAATGGGGGGCACTGTGCAGCCAGGACTGGTCCCCCTCTGCCTCCATCTCTGGTGCCCACCGCCCCTTCCCGCAGCCATCAGCCAAAGTAGGGGTTATCGTGCTGGAAGTTGTAGTCGGGGCAGACCTTCTGGACCAGCTTGTAATCGATGCTGAGGAAGGAGATGAAGATGCAGATGACTTTGAAGGGCTTTGCGCAGAGCCAGGCGGCGTGGCTCTGCGTGTGCTCGGTGAAGCACACCTTGGACGGGTCGTACAGGCAGGGCTTGTTCTTCCGCGCCCGGTTCGTCTTCTCGTACTCCACGTGGCAATTGAGGGCTTTGGCCGGGCGCCCCTCGGGCAGGGTGCTCTGCTGCGGGGCTGGGAGGGAAAGCGGCGGTGGGGCCGGCACCAGCACCTCAAACCCCACGGCCTTGGAAGGGGGCACGATGCTGACCGAGACGTTGCCCAGGCTGGAGGAGTTGTGTCGGAAATAGACGCTGAAGGTGCCGTTGATGTGGTCAACGATCTTGCCCGTCACCAACAGGCTGAACTTGAGGGTCTTGATGTTGAAGTAGAAGTCGCCCCATCCGAAGATCTTCTTGGTGCGGCCGGATTTGAGCGAGGGCTTGCGGCGAGCGCGGGGGCTCAGCAGCTCCCCCGTGGTCTGGTTCTTCTGCCAGTCCCAGGGGCTCCCTGCGCCCCGCGGGGGCTCAGCTGGAATCAGCCGCCCAGGGTCGAGCACCGGAGGCTTCAGGGTGCCATAGGGAACATCCTTGAGGAGGCCGGAGGTGCCCAGCTCCAGGTACCCCAGGGTCTTGGCAATGTGGCCCCCAGCACACACCGCCTGAAGAGAGAGCAGAGACTGGGGGAGCTGTGCCCGCTGCATCCCCCTCCTGCACCCCTTCTGTGGCCATGCACCCCCCAGCACCATGCACCCCTCTGGCACTGCATCCTCCCTTGGTGCCGTGCCACTGGTGCAAGCGTGGCTGCATCCTGCCCATGCCATCCCCCATCTCCATGCCAGGAGCTGGGGCTGCTTCTCCAGCACCAGCCGCATCCCTTTGCCAGAGGAAGCAGGATGCCAGCCAACCCATGACTGCCTGCCCCACAAGTGATGCCTGTTAAGACGCAGGGCAGCAGCATGCCCGGAGATGGGGAGACACCAGAGCCCCGCGCTGCCTGCCAGTAAAGCCTAATTGCATTAGGCAGCCCCTCTGATGTGCAGCTGAAACGCCAGACCCCTGCCAGGCTGCACGGCAGCCACTCCGCCCTCCAGGATAATTGCACCGGGCAGACAGGGCTGGAGAATGGGGTGCATTGTGTGCATTGTGTGCATTGTGTGCCGGGGAGGAGGGCACGCAAGGAATGAGCGGGGACCCCTCGTTCTGCGTTCAGCAGAATTGGCAGCAAAAGCATAAATGATGGGCAGCAGAGGGAAAACCGCCCGGCTGCTGCAAGGAGCCCGTACCAGCACAGCCCCTCGCCCAGCAGAGCCAGGAGTCTGGGGAAAGAGGTCCCCCAGGGTGGAAAGAAGCCGCATTCCTGGTGGGGTGAATGGAGGCAGGGAGCTGCGATTGAGACCTGGTCCCTCCAACCTGGGTGAGCTGTGAGCCCCCTTAGGGAGGTGCTGGTGCGCACTGGCACCCCAGGGCAGCCCCGGTCGAGAAAAGGACCCCAGCATCAGTGGGGATGGGACAGCAGCATCCCCCTCCTGAGGGTCCCCATGGCTGCAGCTCTATGTCTGGCTGCCGGGACCGACACAAGGGGAGCAGAGCCAGCAGCACCTCTCCCACCCTGAGACCCCATTTCGGACGTGTCCCACGTCCCCACCTTGGGAAGCCCCCCCCCTCCCCTTTGTTTCCCCATCCTTCAGCTCGGCTGCTGCTGGCTCTGCACCGCGGTGCCCGGCGTGCCCCTGCCTGCCCTGCCAGCTGCTCTGGTGCGCAGGATGCTGCTCCGTCAGCCCCGGCCTCGTCAATCACTGTCACCCGCGAGCTGCCCGGTGCTCCGGTGCTCTGGCAGTTCCTGCTCCCGGTGACCCGCATCCCAAGGGGGGTGTGGGGAGGAGGGGAGGGGAACTGAGGCGCTCCTCAGCGCTGAACACGAGCCCGAGGGCTGCAGGTGGTGCTGGAGGCACCGGGGACCCATCCTGGCACCAGCCGCCCTGCAGCACCCCCAGAATGGCTCCACGCCGCTTCCCATGAGCCCCATCAGGGAGGGGTGAGCCCCCCTGGACCCCTCCTCAGAGCGGGCAGGGGCTGCTCTCACCGGGGCCCGCAGTAGGGATGCAGCAGCACCGGGCAGGGCTGCCGCGGACACCGGCTCCACGCTCTCCCCGTTCCTCTCCAGTTGCTGAGCTGGGCCCTCAGGCCAGACCGCGCTGCTGTCTCCAGGATCTATCGCCTCATCCCCATAAACGCTGCCTGCGCTGGGCTGAGCCCATAAATCTGCTCCAGCCTCTGCTCGCCCTCGTCTGTGCCACCGGGGCTCGGGCCCGGTCCGTGCGCAGGGGAGGAGGCTCTGGGGGTCTCGGGAAGGGGGCTATGGGGGTGCTGTGCAGTGAGAGGCTGAGCATTCCCGCAGCCCCCGCTCGGGCCTGACGTCCCCCGGCTCCCTCCCCAGTCTCACTTTGAGCGCTGCTGCTGCCTTTGCCCTTATCTATATTTCAACGCAGCTTCAAAGCCGGGTGCCCTCACCAGCCAGCGAGAGAGGGAGCGAGCGTGGCAGGACCGGCAGATGCAGAGATAACCAGGGGAGGGGAAGAAGGGGCTGCCCCCAGCATCCCCCCTCCAGGCCGGAGAGCAGCGTTTTGTGGGGGGACGGTGGCCCCGGGGAGACTGCGCTCTCCCTCCACCCCACTCCTAAGTATTCATCAGCCCAGGAGCCCCCTGCATCCCCCGTGGGGCTTCCCATCGCAGCCAGGGCTGACAGCCAGGGCAAGCAGTTCCCCCAGCAGTGCTACACGAGCCGCCGTGGGCCCCCTGCCTCAGTTTCTCTTTCTCTTTCATTCACGATCCGCCGCTGGTGATGTGGACAGGGATGCGATAGGAACGGGGCTGTGATGGGGAACTGATGGAGACAGAGATGCAGTAGGGATGGGGAAGGGGCAGGATGTGAGGAGGGGATGGGTACGTACTATGGGGCAGTGCTGACAGCATCTTCCTCCATCACTTGAGGGCCATGGGCTTGGGCAGGAGGTTGGGACCAGATGGGCTATGGGGCACAGACTGGGCACGGGCAGGGAAAGAGCTGCCCCCAGCCCCTCTGCCGGGCTGGCAGCTCCCCCCCACACACACCAGGAGCTGCTGGGGAGCAAGGGATGAAAGGGAATTGCAGAGCAGGGCAGCAACTACCAATGCAGCCCTGGCTATCGATCCATGGGCAGCATGGGGAGCGTGCGGGAGACCCTCAGCACCCGCACCCCAGGAGGACGGGGTACCCCGAGCCCTGTGGGCAAAGGGCAACACAGAGCAGGGTCACGTCAAGCCTGTTCCATGACAGCGCTGAGGGGAGCCAAGGTCACCCCCTGCACCCTGCCAGCGCTGTTGGCATTCAGGGCAGGTCCCACTCACACCTCGCGTTAAATATTAATGCTCCTGCTTGCGAGCGGTCGGGGTGCAGCGCGCACACGTGCACAGGGACCTCTGGAGTGTCCATGGGGGTCCCGGTGCTCCTGGCTCTGCATGGGCGTGCACAGAGCCCCCCTCCCTTCCTGGCTGCACCGGGATCTATCCTGGGTCACGCTGGGCTCTGCCCCATGCGCCGTTCCGGTGTGTGTCATACGTGCGCAGGCTGCTGCATCCATGCATCACCCCGCGACAGTGATGGCTTTGAGGGTCTCAAGCCCCTTGTGCGCTTCCCCGTGCACACATGGGGCTGCTGTGTGGCACTCCACGTGTGCACAAGCAAGGATGCAGGAAGGGCTGGGGGTGGCTGCAGAGGGACTCGGTGCCGGCATCAATTTGGCTTGTCAGGACCGGCGGTGATGGCCACTCACATCCCATTTGCTGGCGGGGCCAAGCGCCGTCAGCCGCTCCCCCGAGACCCACGGTCACCTTGGTGGAGGGAGGGGAGCGCATCAGCACCGGTGCGGGGCTCCCAGCACCCCGGCAACAGGCCCACGACCTCGAGGCAAACCAGCCCCTGCTTGTGCCAGGATGAGAGCACCCACGAAGGCACTGAAGACCCCACCCCCTGCACCCTGCATCCCCCCAGCTCAGCGGGGGTCACTGCCAGAGCTGCTGCTGGGGGTCTCCCCATAGGTCAAGCTGGTCCCTCCGCTGTCACCCCGCTGCCTTCGTTAGCGCAAGGAGATTAATTGGAGGTGCTGAGCCACAACCCCCCTGGGCCCGCTCCCCCCCCCGGTGCGGTGCAGCCCGGGGCGGCATGGCATTTCCAAAGGTTAGCAGCAAACAAGGTGCCTCTGACAGCTCCCATTTATCTCTCCGGCGTGGAGCTGGTGCTAATGCGGTGGCAGGGTGAGGCGGTGCAGCGATGGGCTCTGCGGGAGGGCCCCCAGCACATGGGTGCTGAAGGGGTGCAATGGGGATGGGTGAGAGCACACCAAGATCACCCAGAGCCTGCAGCGGGTGTGTAAGTGAATGCAACAAATGCCTGCGGTTGCTCAGCATGCAGCTGAATGTGCACAAATGGCTCCACGTGTGTGCACACACACGGCTGGGCAGGGTGTGCATGGAGAAGGTGGCTCTGCTCCTCCTCAGTGCGATGGTACCCACAGGCTGGACACGCTCCTGGGTGCACACGCAAGAGCAATGCAAGTGCTGGTGATGCCAATCTTGGTGCCAGGGCAATGATGCCACTGGGCACATCTGGGCCAGGTCCAGGATGCTGGTGGAGATGGGGGGAGCCAGGGACCAGAAGCACAAGGTGAGACCCAGCCTCCCCAGGATGCTGCTGCTTTACCAGGGCAGGATGAGGGGACCAGGAGGTGCAGGAATGGGGCACAGCATGGGGTAGGAATGAAGGGAAGAGCCCCCCATCTCAGCCTCTGACCAAGTGGGTCACAGATGGGGTGCACCCATGCACGGGTACCCTGCTGCAGAGCCGGACAAATCCTGCCATGGAGCTGAGCTCAGCGTGACCACACAAAGACCTCCTTGGTCCTTCCCCTGCCTCTTCCATACCGCAACCACACAGCCAAAACCTTCAGCACCAGCACCACGGCCCCCAGCATCCCAATGGCATTGCGGAGAGAGCCTGGATGAGCTCCCCAAAGCCAACCCCACCATCACAGGCTGCCAGCACCCAACCTGCACACGCAGCAGGGTCCTTGCTCCAGAAGCAAACCTCACCCAAGGGCTGGGGAGGCAGGAGCCAGGGGGAATCGGCTTCCTATGGATGCGATTGCCTTCACCCCCTGAACAGACACCTCGCTCCTCGCAGACGGAGAGAATATGCAAATGCTGGGGCTTTATTAACGGGCTCGGCACGCGCTGGCTAATAAATATTTCATAGCCCGAGTAGGACTTTTTTTCTCCCCCCCCCCCCCCTTTCCTTCTTCCTTTCGTTTTGGCTCCTTTTCCCTGTCACTCGTTTCCTGCCTTTTCTTTTCTCAGCCGTTGTTTTATTTATTTATTACTTTTAAGGGCTTCACGGTGAGACAGGAGCTGGGAGGTGGCTGACGGGGGGGGGGCAGCAGGAAAGCATCCCCGGTCTCTCCCCCCCACGGGTGAAAGAGAAAAGTGCTGTTAAGAGCAAAGGAAAAAATATAATAGAAGGAGGAGACAGCAGCAGGCAAAGGATTCAGGGCTTGTGTGACTCATTGGACTCAAGGAAGAAAAGAGAAGGAATGGGAAAATGAGGAGATAAACGGAGCGGGAAGGGGGAGAGGGGTGGGCAGGCGGGTGGGCACAAGAGATGAGGGGGCGCAGGGGTGGATGGAGGGATGGGGATGCGCTTGCTGATGGGCTCCGGGGGGGATTGAATCCTGCTCACCCCATGCCAGGGGTCCCTGATGCCATCCAGAGCTTGGCTTGGCCACTGGGATCTGGCACTGCATAAGGGGGGCAGCTCTATGGATGGCATAGGGGGAAACAGAGGCAGAGCTGACAGGGATGAGCCTCGGGTCGCTCCTGATCCAACCAGGACACCTCATTCCCCCTCCTCATCCCTCGGCCTCAGTTTCCCCACAGCACAGCAGGCTGCCCCATCTTCCTCCGAGCCCCCCCCTCCAAACCAAAGGGACCGCAGCCCTTACCTCCAACCCCCCCCCCGCCTCCCCATTTCACTTTATTATTGCAATAAATGTGGCCATAAAAGTGGCAGGTATCGGCGCGCACCGAGATCGCTTCTCCCGAGCTATGGAAATGTAATTTCGAGTGTGCCCGGGAAATTTTATAAGATCGTATCAGGCGGGATCATAAATTGCATTTCCAGCCCTTCCTCCTCCCCCCCCCCCCACTGTGCGTGTTCCCCCCTCTACCGATGACACAAGGTCACAATGGAAAGGGGCAAACGCTCTGTTCCTATGCCCCCCCACCCTGCCACATCCCCAGAGCCAGCTGAGATTTATTCTCCCCATGAGGAGAAAGGGGGGAGCAGTGGCAGGGATACGGCTCTGTGTGTGTGGGTCCCCCAGCAAAAGGTTGGTCCAAGCCCTCCAAGAGACCCTAAGGATGCAGGGGACCCTCAAGGGCATCACGGGGGATGCAGCTACCAGGGTGTGTTGCATTGAAGCTGAGTGCTGGCTCTCATTAGGAGCTCAGCACAAGGGGTCCCTGCTAAGCCCCCTGGGAACCTCCAGGGCCAGATTCAGTCCCGGTTTGCTCAGGTTCCAAGCGGAGCGGTGTAAAGCATCACCAAGGAACCCAGGATGGAGGCTTCAGTGCTGTGGGGAGACGGGAGGAAGAATGAGAGGGTCCAAGGCCACCACTGTGGCTGGATGGGGTCTGTGCCACAGTGTGGAGTGCTCACAACGGGGTCTGGCAGGGCTTTATCTGAGGAGGGGAAAATGAACCCCATGTGGGCTCTCGCAGCCGATCCTTCCTGCAGGCCAGGCTCCTGCTCCCACAATGACTTTTCCTTTTGCAACAGCGATCAGGGAAGGAAAAGAGAAAAGGCAGGGAGGGGGGAACACGGGCAAAGGGACGTGATTATTTCTTTAGTAGCAATCCAAGCGGCTGGAGAGGAAGCTTCATCTTTCCTGGGCCATTTACCTTCAGCGCCCGAGCGCGAAGCCTGAGCCAGGCAGCTCTTCATTGATGCTGGAGCTTGGCCAGGGCAGGAGGGGGGGGGGGGGAAATATGGGGGCTTCTGTATGCAGCATCACCCCACTATTGGGGCTTTAGGAAGGCGGAGCTGTGATCGGAGGGGTGGGGGGCAAAAGTCATCGATCTGGGGGTGTTAATTGGCATAGGTGTGATGAGCAATGGGGCTCACAGGGGTGCAGCTGGCGCAGAGGGACAAGGCTCAGCCCCCCCCGGCTGTAAACTGGCAATTAAAAACAAGAGGGGGGGGAGAGGAAAGCAATAAAGCAGCGATGGACTGCAGCCAGAAGAACACAGTGGAGGAGCAGGAGCGGGTCTGGCCGGGGGGCACCCCTGGGTGCAGCCCCCCCCCGTCCCCAGCCATCGCTCCCCCCTCGGTGGGAGGCTGAGCCGCGCCACGCTCCAGGCTCCATCCTTATTGAATCTCCCAGCTCAGGGTGCAAAGGGCACCACAGGGAAGAGTTATTAAAAAAAGGGAAATGAGTCGCCTGGAAACCTTCTTTCGGAATAACAGAGTGTGTTTGTTTGGCGATAGATTAGCTCAGCCATGCTGAGCACACAGCACCCGCCGCAGCCACGGTCAGCTCCGGAGAGCCGCAGCAACCGCGAGAAGGGGGATGCGGCTCCCCCAACCCAGGCATCATCCTGGAGCCTGCAGCGCTGCGCCCGGCCAGACCCAAACCCCATTTACCCTCCCCTGGCCACAAATGGGGCTCTCTGAGCCATGAAACTGTTCCATCCTACCCTGTTAATGGGAGCTGGGAGGGTGAATTAGGGGTGTCCTTGCACCGAAAGGGCTGGCAGCATCTGCTTAAGAGCAAAGCCATCTGTCAGCCAACAGCCCAGTCGACGTGTGACAGCGCCTGGGTGACAGCAAGGGAAAGGGAATGAAGTGGGGTGAGTTTCTCGGCGGCTTGCATCCCCCACCACCAGTGTCCCACATCCCGCACCACCAGTATCCCGCATCCCGCACCACCAGCATCCCGCCGGCATGGCCACAGGCACTTTCAAAGCAGAATTTCCCTGGAAAGGGTTAATCCAGGAAGGAAAACCTGCCAGCAACACTCCAGGTGCTTCACAGACACCCGCAATCTCACCTCCCTGCCTTGAAGGAGGGAAACCGAGGCACGGTGCGGGTGATGGGAAGGCACATTGCTGCCGAGGTACAGGGAAGGTACCCAGTGTCCCAGCCCCACCATATCCCACTCTGCTTCTGGGCAGCCTGGCTGCACTCTCCCACTCCTGCCTGCTCCAGGGCCTTGGTACCCTCAACCCCTCTGGCTCCCGTTCAGCACCATGCCCATCACTCGGGCAGCAGGGACCACAGGGCCAAGGCTGGCATCTGCCCCGCGGCAAGGCCGGGAGGCTGCTGGCCGGGAATTGCCTTTCCTCTCTGCTAAATTAACACCCCTTCGAGCTGGTAAAAGCACCTCGGAGCTACAGCCTGCCCCTGCCCTGCTGTGCCTCTCTCCTGGGTGCTCCCTGCGGGGGCCCAGCCCAGGGGAAAGGCAGAGCTCTGGGGGACCCCCAGGGTTTAACACTCAGTGAGCAGAGAACAATCTAAAGCCTCAACAGGGGAAGGCTGAGGCAGGGCAAGCACCCATGGGCAGCATCGCTGCCACCCCGAGCTCAGGCGTGGGGAAGGAGAAGGCAAATCCCGGGGTCAGCAGCAGCCATGAGGGGTGGGGGGCCGAGGGGGGGTGATGCACACACATAGACGGCAATAGGAGCTCTCAAAGCCCACCCTGGTACCCGCTGTGCAGCCACGTCCGCCTCTTTGCCCCATTGCTCCCATCACTGGGGAGCTCCGGTGCAGTGATTGGGGTTGGGGGCAGCCGCTGGGGCCCCCCTGGGGAAGTTTCTCCCCAGCAAGACCAAGAGGCGCAGGAGCTGCCCCATTTCCCTTCCCCAGCCCTATGCCACCAGGCTCATGAAGGGGTTCGGGTTCGCTGCCCCTCAACAGCATCACCCAGGGTCATTCCCCATGCTCATGCACTGGCCCCCACTGCACGCCCCCATATCAGTGCCCCTGTGCAGGTGGGGATTGGATGGGGGGGGGGGGAAAGGCAGTGCCCAGCCCCCGATTCCATCAAAACAAACCCATTCATCTTGAAGCACCTCCAGCACCGACAGATACTCTGTGTTAGATGGACATGGGAAGGAGGGGGGGTCACGTAGAGCAGCCCCCTCCCATCTATCCACCCATGGGCACCCAGAGAGAAGTTGCAGGAGCCTTTGCCTGGGGGTAGGATTGTGCTGGGGGGTGAGGGGGGGGTCCCTGATGTGCATCCAGTTCCGGAGAGGGAATTGACTCCTTTGATTTCATCCATGGAAGACCCAAAGTAAAAATGGAGTGTCAGGAAATCAGATCTGCTGGGGGACGAGTGCAGCCCCCCCCCGGCATAGCTGGGCTGGGGGGGGGGCACGAATCCCACCCCCTGCTCATGAGCACCACAGGGATTAATGGAGCCCCCAGAGGAGATGGCAGTGGGAGGGGTGAGTGGCCCTGGGAAGCATCGAGTACCCGGGACCACTACCGAGGGGCACCCCCGAGGGGGTCGGAGCTTTGGGAGGGGGCCCCCTCGAAGGAGGACGAAGGCCCCGGCAGCACCGGGGCTGAGCCCGCACCGAGTCACGACACGAATGAGGCGTCACCTCTGCAGGTGGCTCCAGCGCTCCCCACCTCGGGGTACCCCCCCCCAGCCCGGTTCGGGGTGCAGAGACCCCCCCCCATCCCCCGACACAGTGGGGGGGGTCCTCACCCCGACACAAGGGGGGGGTGCTTGTGCCCCCCCCCCCCCGCATTTACCCACGCGCGGTCGCCCCCGCTCTGTCTCGCGCCTCTCGTTGCCCCCCCCCACCCCGCACCTGCCAGACGGCGCCTCCCGCGCTCCGCACCGGGTGGAGGGGGGGGGGGTCGGTGCTGCACTAACGGGGACCCCCCCCGTGGGTCAACCCCGCGCCCTCTGCAACTCGGGGCGAGCAGAACCCCCCCCCCCATAACTCCCCCATTCACCTCCCTGCACCCCCCCCTTAATCTCCGCTATCTCCGTGGCTGCCGGAGACCTCCCCCCCAAACCGCACGTCTCCCCAGCATCCTCTCTCAGCACGGATTGTACCCCCCCCCCCCCCATCCCGGGATGCCGCCGTCCCCCCCCCTCGGTAGCAGCAACTTTGCCGGGGATGCGCGCCCGGTGCCCCGGTACCTGCAGCAGCAGCCAGGGCCCGAGCAGGGGCAGGCGGCGGCGGAGCATCGCGGGGCTCCCGGGGCTCCCGGGCTGGACGGAGCGCGCAGGGCGGGCGGAGGCGGGAGGCGGCGGCCAGGGGGAGGCAGGAAGAAAGTTGGAGACTTGCTGGGGCCGGGCGGTGCCTCCGCCGAGCCCCGCCAATCCCGGCCCGCCGCCCCCGCGGGGGGGGGGGGCACCGGGCGGGGGCACCGGGACCCTGCGCTGCACCCCCCGGGGCGGCTGCGACGGGAGGGGACGGACCCCGCGATGCCCTGGTCCTACCCTCCCATCCCCGCTTCGGGGAGACCCCTGCATCCCAGGGTGCGCTGGTCCTACCCCCCTCCATCCCCGCTTCTGGGAGACCCCTGCATCCCAGGGTGCGCTGGTCCTACCCCCCCCATCCCCGCTTCTGGGAGACCCCCCCTTCTAGGAGACCCCTGCATCCCGGGGAGCGCTGGTCCTGGCTTCTGCTTTTGGGAAACACCCGCACCCATGGATAAAGCCCGGATTGTCCCCCCCTCACTTTTGGGAGACCCCTGCACTCATAGATAAAGCTGGGGCTGCCCCCCCCACCCGATGAAACCCCAGCACCCTGCGATACCCCTGGATTTGCCCCCCCTTTTAGGTGATGCCAGCACCCCACTGGTTCTGCACTGGGGCAGTTGGTTCTGCCTGACCTGGGGAGGGGGCTTCCCCATTGCTGGGTCCCCCCTTAAAGACTCCAGCAGAGAAGGGGGAGCATCCTCCAGGAAAGGGTCTGGGGGGCAGCCTTGCACCCCTCACAGTGTGAACACACACAGACACATGCACACATATACATACACACATACACACATATACACATACCCACATATACATACACACATATACACATACACACATATACATATACACATATATGCATACACATACACACATATACACATATACATACACACACATACACACATACTACACATATGCACATACACGCATACATAGACACATACATAGACACATACACACATATACACATATACATGCACACATATACACATACACATACACACATACACATACACACATATACATGCACATATATACATACACACATATGCATCCACACACAAACACATCCACACAGCATCCCAGGCTGGCCATGCAAACTGCATGGACCCACGCGTGTGCTCATCCCTCCAGCCCTGGGAGGATGTGCGAGGTGTTCACATCCCCCCCCCAGCGGGATCCCCCCTCCCCAGAACTTGCACTTTATTGGTATTACCATTATCACTGTTATCCCTATTGTTTTCCACTCGCCATCAGGGCCTGCGGTGTCGCCAGGGCTGGGGGCAAGCGAGGGGGGGCATTGCAGAGCCTCACGGACGTGTGGAGACAGAATAAAGGTAAAGGAGGAATAAGGGGAAGGGAGGGAAATGGAGAGGGGAGAGGAAGGGAAGGGAGCGGAGCTGGGAGATGCGAGTCCTCCCATGGCCCCACAGCAGCGCTGAGCGCCCCATGCACCCCATGCCAGGGTCCATAGCCAGGGTGCAGGTGGGGGGGCTCACTGCTGACTCCATGCCAGTGCTACCGGTTGGCACTAGAGCCAGTGCCAGGCCCCGCTTCCCGGCTGCCAGCGGCTCCTGTATCCCACTTCCAACAATCCCAGCGCTCACCCCGCTTGCCCCATGGCCACAAGTGAACCCCAGCATAGCCCAGGTACCCTTCGACCCAGCACCCAACGCGACTGGGGATGCCTGCAGTGGGGTCCTGGTGTCCATAAGGGTCTCAGCAGGGTCTCAGCAAGAGGACTTGGGGTCCTGGATAGACCCTTCCCACCCCATGGGCCTAAACATGGGAAGGCAGAGGGATGGTGAGAGGAAACGAATGAAGATTTGAAGAAATAAAGACATTTGAAGCAAAAAGAAGAAGGAAAAAAGGGGGGGGGGGGGAGAAAGGGGGAAAGGGAGAAAAAAACCCTCTAGGGGAGATATAAGAAACCGATAAGTGAACAAAGAGCCGGTATTGAAATAGATCTGAGGCCGCGCTGGATCCCTTTGCAGAGCGGTTTGGGGCTTTTCAAAGGCAGCATCCACATCCGCACCCGCGGAGCGAGGCTGGGGGGGGGGGTATGGGCCGGTGCGAGCGAGGTGGGTGCTGGTAAGGAGGGTGCTGAGCATCACCCCGCCACGGCCTGGGCTGCCCCCCCGACCACCGCCGCCGTCCTGGCTCATGGCACGGCTCGACGCCTCCAGCACAGCGCTCGCCCCGTCCAGCTCAGCACCATGAGCCCCCATCCGGCCCTGCCCTCTGCTTGGGGGTGCGGGTGCTGCTGCCACCCCCCCCCCCGCCTCGGCCCTCGGTGCTGGGGCAGCAGCAGCGGGGTGAGGCTCAGCCGGGCAGGGGCACACGAGTGGAGGGGACACTCGAGGGGGAGACCGGAGGGGGAGACCGGAGACCCTCGGCGGTGCGGAGCGGGACGGGGCTGTGCCCCTGCCCGCCGCGTGGGGGCGCGCTCATAGGGTGCAAGCGCAGCGCCCCCCCCCAAGCTCCCTTCTCGAGGGCGGTGCTGCCACCTGGTGGCAGCTCCCGGTACTGCATCGGTGACCGGTGACTGGGGCGGGGGCGCTCCGGGGTCCCGTGGTGGGGGGAACAACCCCGCATACGCAAGAAACCCCCCCCTTCCTTTTCCCTTGGGGATGGGAAACATCAGCGCCGCCACCCTCCGCCCTCACAGCGCCCATCTATGATGCCCTTTGGGGCTCTGATTGTGTGAAGGCAGAGTGATGCCCCCCCCCCGCCCCCCCAATTGCCCCCCCTCCCCAAAACCCCTGCCCACAACCATCAGCCTGCTTCCGTTTTTAAAAATTTTATTTATAACAATATCTGTTTTAGTTGTAAAGTAATCCAGCAAAAATTATTATTAAAACATTTCCCCCCAACAAAAGGATGGGGTTGACCCCTCCCCCCCCCGCGCTCCCCCATCCCCACCAACACCCACCCCCACCCCCCACATGCGTCTTGTTTATTTCTACTATAAAAGCCAGGTCGTTTCCATGGATTTGTCGGGTTTTTTTGTTTTCCTGTTAAAAAATGTGCATGTTGGAGATGGGGCGAGAGCAGAGCGAGGGGCCGGGGACCCTCAGCCCTGCACCGGAGCGGGGGCTCCATCCCTGCCCCCTGTAACAGTCGGGCAGAGCCGGGTGGTTAGGGGGTGATGGAGGAAAAGGTGGGGAGAGGGGATAAGGGGGCCAGGTTGCAGAGGCCAAGCTGCAGGAGAAGGGGGACCCAGGAAGCAGTGGATTTTGGGGGGGGGGGGTAAAGGAAACAGGGCCCCCCCGGATAGAGGAGCTGCAGGGTCTGGGGGAGATGGGTTGAGAGGAGGGGAGCGCACGGCCCCTGCTCTGTGCCCCACATCACCATCACCCCTTGTGTCCCATCAACCCCAGCCCTAGAGCTTTGTGCTGCCCCCCCCGCCGCCCCATGGGTGCGAGGGAGAGGGAAGGGGAAAAAGAGGGGGGGATCCAAGTGTAAAGAGACTGAAAAGAAACCAAAGCTGGATCTGGCAATGAGGCACCGGGGGCCTGGTACCGGGGAATATACAGGTAATAATACTGCTCACATAGAAAAGTAATAATCCTTCATTTGTACATTTATACAGTGGCTCTCGGCCCCCCCCCCCCCGGCCCCCCCCGCCTCCTGCAATGGGTGTCTGTGCCCCCCATCCTGCCCCTATGCCAGGGGGTCCGCCAGGTCATCATCCGCGCCTCGTGACAGCAGCTCCCGCTTCTCATCCGTGCTGGCCAGGGAGTGCCGGCTGTTGTGGGCGCCCATGTAGAGCGTGGCATAGACGGGGTTGGTGAAGTTGGTGGGCTGCAGGGAACAGGGAGGGGAACGGATGGCGGTTGGGGGGGGCACAGGTTCCGCAGTCCCCATCGCTGCCGCTCGCCCCAGTGCAGCATCGCTGTGCCCCCACGGCCCCGGTTCCGCAGTCCCCATCGCTGCCGCTCGCCCCAGTGCAGCATCGCTGTGCCCCCATGGCCCCGGTTCCGCAGTCCCCATCGCTGCCGCTCGCCCCAGTGCAGCATCGCTGTGCCCCCATGGCCCCGGTTCCGCAGTCCCCATCGCTGCCGCTCGCCCCAGTGCAGCATCGCTGTGCCCCCATGGCCCCGGTTCCGCAGTCCCCATGCTGCCGCTCGCCCAGTGCAGCATCGCTGTGCCCCCATGCCGCCAGTCCCTTGCTCGCCCCAGTGCAGCATCGCTGTGCCCCCATGGCCCCGGTTCCACAGTCCCCATCGCTGCCGCTCGCCCCAGTGCAGCATCGCTGTGCCCCCATTGCCCAGGTTCCGCAGTCCCCATCGCTGCCGCTCGCCCCAGTGCAGCATCGCTGTGCCCCCATGGCCCCGGTTCTGCAGTCCCCATTGCTCGCCCCAGTGCAGCATCGCTGTGCCCCCATGGCCCCGGTTCCGCAGTCCCCATCGCTGCCGCTCGCCCCAGTGCAGCATCGCTGTGCCCCCATGGCCCCGGTTCCGCAGTCCCCATCGCTGCCGCTCGCCCCAGTGCAGCATCGCTGTGCCCCCATTGCCCCGGTTCCGCAGTCCCCATTGCTCGCCCCAGTGCAGCATCGCTGTGCCCCCATGGCCCCGGTTCCGCAGTCCCCATCGCTGCCGCTCGCCCCAGTGCAGCATCGCTCTGCCCCCATGGCCCCGGTTCCGCAGTCCCCATCACTGCCACTCGCCCCAGTGCAGCATCGCTGTGCCCCCATGGCCCCGGTTCCACAGTCCCCATCGCTGCCGCTCGCCCCAGTGCAGCATCGCTGTGCCCCCACGGCCCCGGTTCCGCAGTCCCCATTGCTCGCCCCAGTGCAGCATCGCTGTGCCCCCATTGCCCCGGTTCCACAGTCCCCATCGCTGCCGCTGGCCCCAGTGCAGCATCGCTGTGCCCCCATGGCCCCGTTCCCCCCCCCTCACCTTGTCCGGGTCCAGGGCGAAGTCCGCATCCAGCAGCTCCCCCACGTCGTCGTCGGGCTCCCCCTCGTACATTTTGTAAGTGGGGTTCCCGATCTCCACGTTCATGGCACCGTTGGTCATGCGCTGGTGCTGGAAGCCCTTGGCGCTGGGGAGGCAGGGAGAG